ATATATATATATATATATATATATATATATATATATATATACATACATACATACATACATACATACATACATACATACATACATACATACACACATACACACATACACACATACACACATACACACATACACACATACACACACACACACACACGGGCAGCCCGGTGGCGCAACTGGTAGAGCTGCTGCCTCTCAGCGAGCAGGTCCTTGGTTCAAACCCCAGTCCGGGGGCCTTTCTGGGTGGAGTTTGCATGTTCTCTCCGTGCATGCGTGGGTTTTCTCCGGGTGCTCCGGTTTCCTCCCACAGTCCAAAAACATGCATGTTAGGCTGATTGGTAACTAAATTGTCCCTAGGTGTGTGTGAGAGAATGAATGTTGTTTGTCTCGTGTGATGTGTGATGGACTTGCGACCCGTCCAGGGTGTACCCCGCCCCTCGCACAGTGATTGCTGGACATGGGCACCAGCGACCCCCGTGACCCAAAATGGAACAAACGGGTAAAGATAATGGATGGATGGATATACACACATATATATTCATATATATATATATACACACACACACATATATATATATATATACATATATGTAAATACACATACATATATATACATATATGTAAATACACATACATATATATACATATATATATATATATATATATATATTTATATATATATACACACACACATACAGTATATTTCTATGTCATATGGCTGTCCCTGATTATTTTTTCTTTCATAATAATAAAAAATTCCACGTATATATAAAATATTATAAAAATAGTAGCTTTAGAGCAATAATTTTGACTGATCATCTCATCTCCAGCTCTAATTCTGACCCATAGTTACTCCGGGTACGTCTGCTGTTTAGAACAGGGCCCAGGATGCTGCAACAAACATAAAGTACAACAACACTGACTGTTGACGACTGATGAAGCCTTCCGGATCGAAGGCGAGCCGTTTCAGCACCAAAAAAAAAAAAAGAAACTGTCCAGATGACCTGACTGAAAAATGTTGGATTGTATACCTGGATTATTGAGCATGGACTTTGTGGTTTATAGGCTTTCTTTATACTCTTTACAATAATCTGTTTTTTTCATTTATCTTAAATTGAATTATGTTAAAAGCTGAAAATATGTAATGATTTTTAAGATTTATTGATATTTTTATTGGGAACAAAAGCCACTTCCAACAAGCCTAAAGTGGCCCATGGGCCACCAGTTGATAATCACAGTTAGCAAGCAGGTTGTTGTTGCTCTGAACACTTTTAATGTAGTTAATGAAGGTGTAAAAATGGCTCTTGATTGGTTGCAGACCCCTGCTATAGAAGGATAGTCTTCAATTTAAAAAATATCCATTCATCCTTCCATATTGATGGGCAGCAATTCATCAGCAACAGTGATGAGGATTAATGTAGGAGTTGTTTATTTGAGGTTGTGTTGACCATACTTCAAAACTTGTCAACTAGTAATTTTCCATTATTTCCTTCCATATATGTAAAATGATTTTAACATGACAGTATAAGATTTTACAGTGTAACTGACAAAATAACAATTTAATTGTTAGTAAGTAGGCAGAGTTTGTTAAGGACAAATGAAAAAATTTATGCAACTTCTCATAGTTTTCCTCTCACAAACCAAAACTATGTTTGATGAGCTCAAATGTTGCACTTAACATTTAGAGGCTTTAGTATTTTTGGGTACCTGTCTGACTGGAAAAGATCATAGTCTGTCTAAATCAGAGTATTATAAGCGAACACAGTATGTCGCCAATATGAACTATGGGGTTTAACTGAGGGAATGTGTTTGTGCTGGTTATAGTGGGGCAGCAATGCGTGTCCTCATCTGTCGAGTCTTCATTCTCTCTCCCCTCGATTCCCCTACACTTTACTCCTTTGTTAAATAAGGGATTATAACATGGTAATGAGAAGCGTCAGCCTGTTCCTGTTGTGATAATGAAGTTCATAGGTGGATGACATCGTCTCAATCATAATGGAATTAAGCAAGGCTGAGAGAACACTGACAGAGAACAAATGGAGGGATGGGGGCGGTAGCAGGAGTTTAGAAAAAAGGTTAACAAGTGCAGACAGGAGGATGAAGTTGAAAGACTACTGGAAAAGACTGATTCACAACATTAGATTTAGGATTTGGTGCAGTCATTTTATTTACTGCATGTACACTAGTCCTGACATATTGACATGAGTGTTAGTAAAATAAACCAGCACTAATATATAAGGCCTGTTGACAATCGGCCTATAATGACAGGAATGAAAGGAAGGCAAGAACGTCTGTCTGTCGGCCTGTCTGTCGGTCTGTCTGTCGGCCTGTCTGTCGGTCTGTCTGTCGGCCTGTCTGTCGGCCTGTCTGTCGGCCCGTCTGTCGGCCCGTCGGTCGGTCTGTCTGTCGGTCTGTCTGTCTGTATGTCTGTCGGCCTGTCTGTCGGTCTGTATGTCTGCCGGCCTGTCTGTCGGCCCGTCGGTCTGTCGGTCTGTCGGCCCATCTGTCGGTCGGCCTGTCGGCCCGTCGGCCTGTCGGTCGGTCTGTCGGTCGGCCTGTCAGCCCGTCGGCCTGTCGGCCCGTTGGCCCGTTGGTCCATCGGCCTGTCGGCCCGTCGGCCTGTCAGTCGGTCTGTCGGCCGGTCGGTCTGTCGGCCCGTCGTTCGGTCTGTCGGCCTGTCGGTCGGTCTGTCTGTTTGTCGGTCAGTCGGTCGGTGCGTGCGTGGTAACAAAATATCTTACCAACCAAAGAGTAGATTTTATTGACATTTAGGACATATTCAACACACATCTCGACAGCTGAATACATTTTAGACATATCCCAATTCAAGACAGCCACCGTAGTCAGCTGACCTTAGAAAACACAAAATTTGGCGAGTTTCTAGTTTAGTCATTCTTTGTATTTTTATTTAACTTGTGCTTTACCAGGTGAAACTATTAATAGTTCTTAAAAACAAAACAAAAAACCCCTTCAGAATTTGATCGGAATAAATTGAATTCAAGTTGGCCACCACAGCTAATCAACCTCAGGAAACAAAAATTAATATAACTGTGTCACTTTTCTAGAAATTCAGCTACAATTTGGTGTTGTAGTAGCTGAGTGTCATTCACAACATGAAATCTGAGCATTAAATCTCAAATTATTGCATGATAAAGTCATTTTCAGGGTTTTAGCTACAAACCATTATTTCTTAACGTAAAGATGATCTCAGTCTAAATCGTTGGTTTTAAAAGTGGTGGGGATATGAATTTCTTCAAGGATTACTAGGCTATTACTTTTTTCTTGTTTTATTTGCATCTTACACAATAATTCATTAAATACATCACACTCCTGCAGTTATTGTGAAAAATAACAATAGCAGCACAAGGGAGGTTTAACAATGTGAAAACAGAGACCCCTGTGTAAACATAAACTAATCACAGCCATATCAATTACTCACTTTGCATTTTTTTTGAGTAGTAACATAATTAAACACATTGTGGTATTATAAGAGGAGCAGTACTGAATGTAAATATAACTGTTTTTTATTTATTTATTAAAAAACTGGAGACAACTCCGAGACTTACAATTCTTTAAATACGATTGTTTCTCCTTCATATTATTAGGAATGAGCTTCATCTCATTAAACAACTGCGATAATAATAAAAAAAAAAAACAATCGGAACAAAATGCATATTCACCATAACTTGTTAAAACACATCGTTTTTTATTAATTGGACGGCTGTGGCGCAGCACGGTGGCGCAACTGGTAGAGCTGCTGCCTCTCAGTGAGAAGGTCCCTGGTTCAAACCCCGGTCCAGGGGCCTTTCTGGGTGGAGTTTGCATGTTCTCTCCGTGCATGCGTGGGTTTTCTCCGGGTGCTCCGGTTTCCTCCCACAGACCAAAAACATGCATGTTAGGCTGATTGGTAACTCTAAATTGTCCCTAGGTGTGAGTGAGAGAGTGAATGATTGTTTGTCTCGTTTGTCTCTATGTGGCCCTGTGATGGACTTGCAACCCGTCCAGGGTGTACCCCGCCCCTCGCACAGTGATTGCTGGACATGGGCACCAGCGACCCCCGTGACCCAAAATGGAACAAACGGGTAAAGAAAATGGATGGATGGATGGACGGCTGTGGCTGAGTAGTTAGAGCAGTCGTCTTCCAATGCAAGAGTTGAAGGTTCAATTCCACCAGCAATCACCTGTCGAAGTGTCCCTGGGCAAGACACTGAACCCCCTCATTTCCTCCGATGTGTGTCTCATTGGTGTATGAATGTGATAAAGCACTGATTAATCTTTGTAGAGATCTAGTAGAGTGCTGTATGAATGAGTAAATGAGGGCACAATGTAAAGCACTTTGAGTATCTTGATAAGGTATTCATATTTGAATGATCATTTTCATGTAGTTTGAAAGGTTTGCATGGTACACAGGTTCTCTCTACCTTTTATAGTTTCACTGATGAAGTCTGAGTTGGTGTGGTTTTGAAATTGACAGAACATGAATAATTGAGTGTTGTGATTTAGAACAATGTCAGAAGAATTAGCCAGCTTGTTGCAACATTTGTGTCATTTTTGTTGCAATATCAGAAATGATTATAGCTCCTTTTTGTTTGATATTTAACGTGGTGTGATTATATAACACTAAACTATAGAGGGTCTTACACTTCCACTATTTTGAGAAATCCTGATCTCTTTTGCTCTGTCTATTTTTATACCACATTGTAAACATATCTTCCTTCATTTACAGTATGACCCATCTCTTGATGGATATCTAGAATAATAATAATTTTTTACCTTTAGATATAATTGGAGTGTGCAAAAGTGCAGAGGATGTTTCTCAAATCACCACTAAAACCAACAGAGAGGTCTCCAAAAGGGCTCTCAACCTAGTAGACATGACTGGCAAAGAGGTGACTGTCACGCTGTGGGGAGTGGAGGTAAGAACTATAATTTAACTCTCTGACTCTATGTCTGAGTGGATTTCTAGTTTTAACGTAAGAGCACAGTGATCTGACTGAAGTTAGTTGTGTATTTTTGGTTGTGCACATGCATGTATGTGCATATGCGTCCCTGATTCTGTCTCTGTGGATGTTCACACATACCGAACACTTTGATTGGGTTTCATCATGGGCTGTAAAGTTTGGATTGTTCAAATTACTGCCGTCGTGACCTTCAACACTGCTTCGGACTCGGATTTGAGACAGAGAGCTATAACTCGAATGAGTACCATTCTTCTCTAAGCTCATTTGATCTGTGAGAGCTAATCCTTCCTTTTTGCCAGAGTCTGAAAACGACTTTCAAATTAACTTGTAAGTTATCTAATCATTAACACAAGCTGATGTTACTTTTAGGCATCTCCAAATTGCAGACACAAATTACACATAGAACTTTTGTTTCATTGTGTTTCAGTGGTTTTTTTCTTCTTAAATAACAGTCATTGATTTTTTTTTGTTTTTCCTCACCAGGCAGAGAAGTTTGACAGCTCTGGGCAGCCTGTTGTTGCCATTAAAGGAGCTCGCCTGTCTGATTTTGGAGGCAGATCACTTTCAGCTTTGTTTAGCTCAACAGTCATGGTCAATCCAGACATATTCGAGGCCTTTAGACTCAGGGCATGGTGAGTCACTGTAATGTACACTAACAATAATACACACATTGATAATCCCATTCAGACTCAGCACAAGATACTGTTTGTGAAAGAAAATGAGATAACAGGTTGTTTCTGCTTTGTATTTATGAAATAAGAAACGTGCTAAGCATGGAACCTGCTCACACACACTAATGAGCAAGCCTAGGAACAGAGCCCTGATGTCAGGAGACTGGTGGTATGAGCCACCTGAGTCTCAGTGGGGCTCTAGTTAGGGTTGGATGGAGGGAATAAGAAAAACAGTTATTTCTGGATCTAAGCTCTGAACTGCGATCGCATTTGCTCAAAGACACGATGAGTCGCATCAAACTGGATTCCCATTAGCACTTCCTGTGGAGGGATTTTGAATTATGACTCATTCACTCATTAAAGCTGTTCCCATATCTGGCCACCAGTAAAATGTATTTATTGTGTGTAAGTATACTTCAGTGTACACAATTCACTTCCAAAAGCTGCATCAAATGGCACATGAACAGATTTGGTGTGAATATAGTAAATAAAAGTTTTTGTGTATTTTGTCGATTTTAAATTCACACTATCAGACGTTTTTATTTTAACTAATTGCTCCATGAATAACAATAGCTATAGCTATGCTTTCTTGTAAACAGGAAGAGCAGATTCCATTGCTTCTGTTTACTCCTAGTCTTGTTACATTCTATTCAATGTACCAGTTCATCCTTATATTCAAAAAGCTAAATAAGTTAAAAAAAAAAAAAAAAATGTCTGCCTCCTTCCTTTCATCACTGCTTCTATTTTCCTCTAATCCCCAGCTTTCCCCCCTGATCTCCACTGCTGTTTGATTCTTTTTCCAGTCTACTTGCTGACAGCATGCAGTTATTTCTGGAGCAGATAAAATGTTTACAACTTCTTTTTTTTTTTTACATTTAGGTGTGTGTTTTACAAAGACAGTGTGTGTGCTTGACTCACATTCCTGTGACAAAGTCACATTGTTTTGGATTGTTTGCTCAAGACCTGTTTGCATAAATGGAAGAAACGGATGAAACTGAAAGGAAGATGCCTTGATTGGATTTTTCATCCAGAATACAGAGTAGTCACACACATTAATATTTTAGCAAGAAAATAAAAAAGATAAACTGAAAGAGTGCATAGATTAAAAAGGAGATGGACAAGTTTTGTACAATGTCACTGTTGGCATATGAATATAAAAAGTTGATTGATCTAGATATGTGTTTGTTCGTGATAGACGTTTGTGTTGAATCTGATATGCTGAAGGATAATCATCTGATGGCTGCAAATAAGTTGGGGGAATTAGGGAGTTTTCAGACACGACTGAGATGGCTTTGATAGATATTATTTCAGACAGAGCAGTGATTATTTCAGCGCAGCATTTTCTTCAAAAGAAAAGTGAATTACTTTAATGCAACACAATAAAAAATTTCCTTGCATGCTCTATATTTTTACTTTTGTACAGCCACAGCTGACCAATGTTTCTGTTGCGTCTTGTGTACTCTAATCACCTCAGTATTTGAAGAAATTAAATTTTTTACTTCATTGACTTCTAATTCTTCTAACTGTAAAGCGTACGCATCACACATTGGTTGTAAAATTGCTAGTTTTGATGTTGACATGTCTGTATCACAGGTATGACCAAGGAGGTTATGCACTCAACAGCCAGTCGTTAACCCAAACCAGGTCACTCACCAGTGGGTCAGCAATGAACTGGAAAACGCTCAGCGACGTTAAGAATGAACACATGGGACATGGAGAGAAGGTATAGTCTACACATGAACACATAGCAGTGCATTTACATACGAAGAAAGATCAATGGATTAAAACAAGATTTTTTTTTAATCTGCTGTAAATGGGGAGGGGTAAGTGACTTGTTTAAGTACATTAGTCCCTCGCTACTTCGCGGTTCGACTTTTGCGGACTCGCTCTTTCGCGGTTTTTCCAAGTAAGATTGGACATGACACACAATTGGGCTGAATGATGGATGAGCTGCACAATTGGCATAGATTTTTAAAAAATTTAAAATAAATTATTTAAAATTATTTAGCACCTGCTGCACCTGTGTGCAGCCCACAGATGCAGGGAGAAGCTCCCTCCTGCAGCATGTAAGGATCTCCACTCTGCGGCAGAGAAATGGGCGTGGCCATGACTGCTGGCAGGTGGCAGAGAGCGGATATCATGACCTGCTGTGCTATTTTAGAGCATTTAGAGCATATGTCGGGGAGTGGTGGCGCAGAGGTTAGAGAAGGTGGGCCTGTGATCGGAAGATCGCCGGTTCAAGCCCCGGTACCAACAACATCAAAAATGTGGGTGGGGTAGGTGAAGCACCCACACCTGCCCCCACCCTTATTTGCCCCACTCTGGGCCCATGAGCAAGGCCCTTAACCGCCATCTGCTCCCTAAACAGGTCTCTCTTGAAAATGAGTTCTCGTGGCTCAATGAGACTACCTGTATAAATAAAGGGTAAATGGAAAAAAAAAGTGTCAAACTCAAGGCCCGGGGGCCAAATGTGGCCCTCGTTGACATTTTGCCTGGCCCCCAAGATGGTATTTTAAATGTAAAATACTTTTATCACTTTAATTTTTTCAGTAATCTTTGATTATGATGTCAAAAGTGCAACAGAAAATGTCAAATGAGACCAATCAAACTCTTATTGAGGAACCTGTGACCAAGAAAATATGTTGTGTGTCTGACTTGAGCTAATGTAGTTTCTGAAACCAGCTCTTAGTTTGAAAAAGGTTTTAATTTTGGCCCTCTTTGGTAACTGAGGGTGCATTCACACTAGCCCTGTTTAGTCTGCTTTAATCGAACTCTAGCTCGTTTTCCTAGAAATTCTGGTTCGATTAGGGAGGTGTGAACGCGCATCAAACTCTGTCACGGAACAAAAAGGCGAACTCTGGCCCGGGCTAAAACCTAGGTCTCGGTCCGGTAGAAGAGAACTCCAGCATGGTTCGAGTACAGTGTGAATGCAAACAGACTGGGCCCCGCTCCACAGGACAAACAAACACTCATTTCTCTGACCTTATATGGAGCCGTCAGCTGCCTTGTGTGGGAAAAACAATATTCTCCATGGTCTTCTGTCTCATCTTCTGCTCATGCTAAGTCCATTTTTGAAAAATGACAAAATATAACTCCTAAAACTTGATGCCACTTCGTTTTTATTTTTATTTACAGAAGAAGAAGACGTGTCTTCAGAGGTTTTGTGTAGTTTCTTTCAGTAGTTCTTGGTGCAGCGCCCCCACAGGCGAGTGGGGGAATAGGTTGGTTCAACAGGTTGGCTCGACTGCACAGTGCAGTGTGAATGCAAACGCACCAGCTCAAATGTAAACAAAAGCTCATGAATATTGGTCCCGAACCGAACCTACCGGGCTATCAGGTGTGAAAACGACCTGAGTTTGATACCCCTGATTATAGTTTAGAAACATTGTTTAGGATATTGCAAGAGTGTGGGAAGGGTTTAAAA